GTCAGATCCTCAACTTTTCTTTTCAATTCATTGGGATTGTTTAGATATCTATATATCTATACAATTATTTAGCTTCAATAACAGTCCACCCTTCAACAAAAAAGGCAGAACTTATCATATATCTTATTCATACAGGCCAAAGCTCTCAGAAAAAGCTTTCACAATTCTAGTCACTAGGAATAGTTTTAATACTTTGAAATAAGACCAGATGTTGTTACTCATACCTTCAATAGCATGAACTTGTTAAGTGGATCATACCACTGCATCAAGATGACACTGTTGGGGAGAGCACCACACAGATATTTGTACCCATTGTATGGATTCCTCCCTACACAACATCTGGAGCAGCCCTTGGTGTCGGGGACTTTGGTTGTGGGGATGAATTTTCTTAAAAGAAAACCAAAAAAACAACAACATTAGTTTGACATTTAATTTTGGTTATATCTGATTCACAAAGCGAAAACTTAAGTTGTTTGGACTCCATGTGACAACCTTTCCAGCAAAAAATTGTATCCTCATTACATCAGCTGATTCAAGAAATTGATATTCCAGTGGTTGTGCCAAGTGCTGTTCTTCGGTGCCTTGGAATTGGCTGGAAAAAAAGTTCATTTCCTGGAAAGAGGACAAAACAATTCCCCACTTTTTGTTTTATTTACACTTGCTTTATTCCCAAGAAAACTTATGTTAACTGATTAAAAAACAAGAATTAAAACAAGGCCAAGTGAATCCCATGCCAGTTTACATGACCTTTTGAAATAAGTACAAGTGCACTCTTCCAATATATTCTAAAGCCACCTCTTTTTATAAAAAAAAAAAAACAGTTCAAACCAATGTATTGCCAATTTAAAATCTTCATTGTGTGCCACAAAGATTCTAAACAAAACACTGAAACATGACTAAAACACATTTTCTGTGATTCCCCCCTCTCCACAAAGCAAAGAAACATGCTTCAGTTAGTCCTTATATGATCATGCTGTCTACTGAGATGTAAAGAAATAAGTTACATAACAGCCAAGGGACAACAGAAGGAACAATTTACCAGAGGCCTTGCCAGAAGCAGATTCTACAGAATGAAGTAATGAAATATAGCTGATCAATTTGCATAGCTTCCTGCATGGCTGTTTTGATTATTAAGTTAGACAGTCTTCTAACCAGTCTTCTGTAGCCAAGACAGAACTCATATCACCAACTTTACCATAACAAATAAAGAATCTGGTCAACTCCCTAAAATTCAGGTAAACACCTTTGATCCCCTCCAGGCCTCTGTTTCACAAAGAATCTAAAATCCTTAGTTGACTATACTTAGCTGGTGGACTAACCAACACCCCATTTCCATAGATTTTTAGATCGATCTATCCCTGTGGGGAGTCTCACTAGATTACTGTCAGCTTGACCGGCTTAAGCGTCTGTCCCGCCTACTAAAAGCTGTAAGGGGTTAATTAACTATGGTGCCCGCTCGGCTGACTGCAATTTGGCGTGAACCCCCAGGGAGTTAGGTCGATCTAAATCTTAATCTTTAGATCGATCTAAATCTCTGGAAAAGCACCCGAGGGCTGACTTTGCTGTAACAGACTACAGGCATTTCACAAAGAATGTTAAATTCTAGCTTCCTTGACCTTAGTTGACTTGTGGCGGTTTTTGTGAAATAGGGTCTGAACTGTGAAACAGAAAATACGGAAAACAATAACCTAGAACACTGAAGAAGAAGAGATTGACTTACCTTGGCACTAATTTTTCAGGTATTTTGTTAATGGGCAAAGACAACCTGTGGGACTGCCTGGCCACCAGCATCACCAAGTCATGGCGAAATAACTGAGGAGTTTTGCCTGTGGAAAAAAATCAGTGGCTATAAAAACTGACTATTAACCATAACAGATTTACAAAACAGTATTTACCCTTCACCCAAAATTCTTTATTTACTGCCTTGCATACATTCTTTTGGGTAATAGTGTTCAGTGACTAAATTAATTAACATTTACACATGTCATCTTATGGGTGACGTCATAATTACGAATTTAAGGTAAAAACTGCAGAATTGGTTTGTCAAATTTCTGCTTTACCTGAGCACCCACAATCAGTGTTTTCAACACTGATTTAATGACACAATCTAGTTCCCCAAAACCCTGCCAGCGATTTTTCTTAGAAGTCTCAGTTCAGATTTTATCGTTGATAAAGCAAAATAATGCCTTTGTTATATGAAAATCTGCAATAAGGGAGGCATAACTTTATAACAAAAATGTTTAAACCAAAATGACGGCACAGGATTGTAACCTATACACTCGTGGTCAACTCTGCCAATTTTCATGACAAAATCTTGTTCAGGGATGAAGTTACGCCCCATACCGATTACTATTTCACCTCAAAATAGAAAGGTTTTAAAGTGACAATTAAAAGCTTTGATTTGCCAATGCTTACATATTGCAACAAGAAAAATAAATGCAGACACTTAATATTTTCAAGGATTTTTTCATTGTTTTAAATCAGCACAAAAATAGATGCATTATTGAATAAATAGATGTGGGGAAAAAACCTCATTTCGGTATCTGGATGATAAGAAAGGGTTACAATACCCTTACACACTTACTCAGTGCCCTTACATTCTTTCTAAATTCTAAAACTCCAGACGAGTTGGTAAATTGTGAGAGGTTGAGATAGTTATCAATAATTCAATGACAAGAATCCATTAAAATATTTGCAAACAGCATCTCTGACAATATGTTCTTAATTACAAAAGATAAGTTTCTTAAGACATACAGTACCATTGTTACAAAATTAAAATGGAATGCACAAACATGCTATTTGGCTGACACGACTCACCTGATAATGACATCATAACATCTTTTATCACATATAACCATGTACATTTCCTTGCATGCACCTGTGGGGATAGAAAAAAAAGTATTTGCTAATGATTCAATGTGGCTCAAAATTAGCTGTATTTATCGATTGCTCTAGGGCTTCTCTTATATCTCACACAAAGGGAACAGAATCAATAATCATGTTTCTTTTATACTTGGAAAAAATGACAGGACAAAAATAACATTCCTGTCTTCTCTGATAAATGTTTGATAACTACCAAAGTCACATGAACTTATAAGTTACTTAATCAAATTCTATCATATGATATGTAATGGGAATGGTACAGTGGAAACAATTTTCTGTAAAGGTCAAGGTCGATTGGAATAAATTCTTGATGACAGTTACAAATCAGATTTACATACAATGCTGATTATTCGTATTATTACTAAAGATTAAAGATTAGAAAAAAGGGGTTTTAATATATTTGTAGATAATCTAATATTTAAAAAAGTGTATTGGCAGATAATTTAAGATCTTAAAAAGTGCTTTTAAAATTTAAAATGGAAAATTTGGAATTAGAGACATTGTTCTGTTATTTGATTTAAACTTAACTGGTTTAAAATTGGGTAAAATAAAATAACCCTACCCCAGACCCAGTGTTAGTAAGACGTATAAATGGAGCACTTTCCTGATGTAAAAGAAACATCATTTGGAATCAACCAAATTCTGTACCTTCTAAAGAATAACCAACATAAATATATCTTGCTGTGAAATTATATATATTTTTCTGAGAGTAAGTCATTTTGAAAATTTAGTGTGGGTGGCAAAATATGAATCTTTACAGAACATTAGAGCATGATGTTAAGGGTATTCTTTCCAAATCACAAAGGTCATCAGATCCAATTTAGACATTTTCAATTATGGAAAACAGAGGCTAACAGAAGACCTGATAAACCTACTCAAGTGACACAGCTTGTTTTCAATTCAGTGCATCCAAATGAAACTTAACGTGAAAATAACTCAAGTTCAAACCACTATCTTACCAGTTCCATTGAACCTTCATGGATTTCATTCAAGTTGAGCATATACATTCCTGCATTGGAACCAACAAAGATGTATTGATCTGGAATGACAAAACAGCTAGTTGGAATGATATGCTGCAAACAACAGTTAATCAGCACTTCAGATATATCATATTTCATTTTGGCTGCCATATTTTATAACATTTGCTTATGTTTCATTTGGGAAACTTCAGCCTTGTTCCTGTTAAGACAAAAATTTGCTTTGCTACTAAACAAGCTCACAGACAATCATTTGCTTTTCTGTATTTCTTATTTCTTTTTACAAATTTCAAAAATAAATAAATAATTACACTTTCTAAAAATTTTCAAATTCAGAAAAACAAAATTGAAAAATTTAATGCATTTTTGTCTTAATTAGTCTCACCTCTTGTGTCTGGGTGTACCCAGCTAGCAGAACAGTTGATCTGCAAAGGACATCCATTGAAAACTTTTGAAAAACACGCCCCCATCTGCAAAGAAAAAAAAAACCCACAGCATTGAGATATAGATAACATCACTACAGAATGAATCTTATATAATAATCAATAGTCTTTGATATTTTGAAAGTTTACAGATATTAGAGGCACACTGTATTATTCAAAAGAATGTGGATTAGTAATTTCAACAGACACTCCCCAATTACTGCACTCATCTTGTTCACAGGCTCAGAAAAAATAAATCAAGTTTCTTTATTCATGTGGGACAAAACTATCTCTTTTCTGATCACAGCGTGAAACGTTTAAAAGTTCAACTCAGTTACCACAGCATAATTAAGCACATTATGAAGGCAGAAATAGAGCTATTTTAGGTTGATTGTGTCGCTTGGGGTAAGAATTTGCAAACCATGGCTAAATATCACTGAAGCAGAAGCTACTCACATGTACTTTGGGAGTTGGTGGAAGGCCATTGCTCACTGGTCTCTGAAAAACATGTCAAACAGGTTTACAAAAAATTTCCTATATACATATAAGGAATAAAAGTTCACGATACTTCACATAGCATTTACATTTCTAACATAATAATAATAATAACTTTATCAGGTACTTAAATTGAATTCTTATTTATAGTCATTATAAAACAGCACCAACATGAAACATACAAAAACAATAAAAAGAAAAACTGGCTTAACATGAGCTCCTCAAATTAAGAATACAAGAATGCTAAAACATTCTTCTAAAAATATTTCTATCATGACTCTCTTTCAATTCCCAATCGAAATTACAAATATGAAGATAAATAATATTAAACTACATCAAAATCTATTGAAGTTTTTTTCAACAGTATTAAAATCAATCAGTCAAGATAAAAGGGGCAGAATGAGTTAAACCAACTGTGCTTACATTTGGTAATGGTCTTCCTCCAGGCCGTCTCCTGGGCGGTACCTGTGGGGCAGGGGAGGCCTCGGATGCGGGAATACTACCATTGGCAGTACGAGTCTTAGGAGGAAGAGCAGGGGGGGCCTCACCACCTTCTCCAGGGAGTCCAGACCCAGGTGTCAAGGTCTTCATGTAGTCCACTATGCCATCTAGACCACCATTCTCTGTTAGCTCCTCACTGCCTGTACTTTGTGTTCGGCTTCTTTCTGTATGTGGCTGCATTGAAAAAAAATCAAATTCTATAGCTTTTTTCACTTGTTTTCCATTTTTTATTCAGTGACATGGTCATTTATTAAAACTAAATGCCACTCAAGCTATATAAGCAACTTTTAAGATCTTTTGTCAAATCAAGTCTTAAAAAAACTTTCCTGATAGAGCCAATTTGAAAGGAAAAACCTATATATATTTTTCTATAAATAAATTCTGTGTAACTATAATTGGCATGTATGTTATATATCGGCGTGTTGAAATAAGATGTGTTATTATGANAAAAGTGCTTTTAAATTTTTAAATTGAAAATTTGGAATTAGAGACATTGTTCTGTTATTTGATTTAAACTTTACTGGTTTAAAATTGGGTAAAATAAAATAACCCTACCCCAGACCCAGTGTTAGTAAGACGTATAAATGGAGCACTTTCCTGATGTAAAAGAAACATTATTTGGAATCAACCAAATTCTGTACCTTCTAAAGAATAACCAATATAAATATATCTTGCTGTGAAATTATATATATTTTTCTGAGAGTAAGTCATTTTGAAAATTTAGTGTGGGTGGCAAAATATGAATCTTTTCAGAACATTAGAGCATGATGTTAAGGGTATTCTTTCCAAATCACAAAGGTCATTAGATCCAATTTAGACATTTTCAATTATGGAAAACAGAGGCTAACAGAAGACCTGATAAACCTACTCAAGTGACACAGCTTGTTTTCAATTCAGTGCATCCAAATGAAACTTAACATGAAAATAACTCAAGTTCAAACCACTATCTTACCAGTTCCATTGAACCTTCATGGATTTCATTCAAGTTGAGCATATACATTCCTGCATTGGAACCAACAAAGATGTATTGATCTGGAATGACAAAACAGCTAGTTGGAATGATATGCTGCAAACAACAGTTAATCAGCACTTCAAATATATCATATTTCATTTTGGCTGCCATATTTCATAACATTTGCTTATGTTTCATTTGGAAAACTTCAGCCTTGTTCCTGTTAAGATGAAAATTGGCTTTGCTACTACACAAGCTCACAGACAATAATTTGCTTTTCTTTATTTTTTATTTCTTTTTACAAATTTCAATAATAAATAAATAATTACACTTTTTAAAATTTTTCAAATTTAGAAAAAACAAAACTGAAAAATTTAATGCATTTTTGTCTTAATAAGACTCACCTCTTGTGTCTGGGTGTACCCAGCTAGCAGAACAGTTGATCTGCAAAGGACATCCATTGAAAACTTTTGAAAAACATGCGCCCATCTGCAAAGAAAACAAAACCCACAGCATTGAGATATAGATAACATCCCGTGCAGAATGAATCTTATATAATAATTAATAGTCTTTGATATTTTGAAAGTTTACAGATATTAGAGGCACACTGTATTATTCAAAAGAATGTGGATTAGTAATTTCAAAAGACACTCCCCAATTACTGCACTCATCTTGTTCACAGGCTCAGAAAAAATAAATCAAGTTTCTGTATTCATGTGGGACAAAACTATCTCTTTTCTGATCACAGCGTGAAACGTTTAAAAGTTCAACTCAGTTGCCACAGCATAATTAAGCACATTATGAAGGCAGAAATAGAGCTATTTTAGGTTGATTGTGTCGCTTGGGGTAAGAATTTGCAAACCATGGCTAAATATCACTGAAGCAGAAGCTACTCACATGTACTTTGGGAGTTGGTGGAAGGCCATTGCTCACTGGTCTCTGAAAAACATGTCAAACAGGTTTACAAAAAAATTCCTATATACATATAAGGAATAAAAGTTCACAATATGTCGATACTTTACATAGCATTTACATTTCTAACATAACTTTATCAGGTACTTAAATTGAATTCTTATTTACAGTCATTATAAAATAGCACCAACATGAAACATACAAAAACAATAAAAAGAAAAACTGGCTTAATATATTAAGCTCATATATGAGCTCCCTCTCAAGATAAGAATACAAGAACGCTAAAACATTCTTCTAAAAATATTTCTATTCTGACTTTCTTTCAATTCCCAATCAAAATTACAAATCTGAAGATACATAATATTAAACTACATCAAAATCTATTCAAGTTTTTTTCAACAGTATTAAAATCAATCAGCCAAGATTTAAGGGGCAGAATGAGTTAAACCAACTGTGCTTACATTTGGTAATGGTCTTCCTCCAGGCCGTCTCCTGGGCGGTACCTGTGGGGCCGGGGAGGCCTCGGATGCGGGAATACTACCATTGGCAGTACGAGTCTTAGGAGGAAGAGCAGGGGGGGCCTCACCACCTTCTCCAGGGAGTCCAGACCCAGGTGTCAAGGTCTTCATGTAGTCCACTATGCCATCTAGACCACCATTCTCTGTTAGCTCCTCACTGCCTGTACTTTGTGTTCGGCTTCTTTCTGTATGTGGCTGCATTGAAAACGTCAAATTCTATAGCTTTTTTTCACTTGTTTTCCATTTTTTTTCAGTGACACGGTCATTTAGTAAAACTAAATGCCACTCAAGCTACATAAGCAACTTTTAAGATCTTTTGTCAAATCAAGTCTTAAAAAAACTTTCCTGATAGAGCCAATTTGAAAGGAAAAACCTATATATATTTTTCTATAAATAATTTCTGTGTAACTATAATTGGCATGTATGTTATATATTGGCGTGTTGAAATAAGATGTGTTATTATGAGATACAAAATGGGTGATTTACAGCAAAACAAGCATGAAATTGATACAGCTTGAGACACCTAGATGTACCAATTGGTTAATTCTCAATCTGCTATTTGATATTCCTGATAGACAAAGAAACTCCCACTCACCCTAGGTGGCACTGGTGGTGCTCCCATGGGCAATGTCTCCCTGAAATAATAGTCAATTAAATATTCAATTCCTATTTCTAAAATATGGTGAACATACTCTACACAAAGAAGCAGTGTATATTTTCAACTAGGACATCGTGGATTTGGTAAGGTACAATGTCCCTACTACTACAAGGATAAAGACTGACTATCAAATAGCAATAAAAAAACTTGCGGTTGACAAAAAATACTACACACATGCTTGAGAGGAATGCCTGGACTTTGCAAAGAGGAAATAGATCACATATCACAAAGACAAATTGACCATTTTTCAATAGCATTATTTCAGAATTTTTAGGTCTAAGCTACATCCAACTGGGGGAAAATGAAAGCATAGCTTTTTAAAGACGTAACAGCAAACATTACATTAACAAAGGTCAACACAGCATGGGTAAGGAGATGAGATGATACTGCAAATGAACATCAACAGACACAGGGTAATAAAGCAAAAATTTGGAGGTGCTGATCTAGTATTAGTTTTTAGTGCTTTGAAAAGCATGTAAAGCCTCACATAAAAACACATCATAAAAGATCTTGACCAAATACCAAAACTCTAACACGGGTGACCAACAAAACCATAATACAAATGACCAACATAACCAAATACAACACTTTTAGAAAAGAAAAAATAAGTCCAAGGAACTGCTTACTGCTGTGTGTATTCAGAATTGTCAAAATCTTCGTCTGGCGAGATCAAGCTACTGCGATGCCCCCTAGTGGACAAAGACAATGCATGTAATAAAGACAACTTTAAAGGAAAGTTAAGATTGCACAAATGCATCAAGATTCAAGTTCCAAAATAACAATAAATTGTCTTCAACAGCATCAATTTTTTCATGATAGACCAATTTTAAATAAGACTTTTAAAAAAATTCTAAAATTTCTGTGTTGACTAAGTATTTTGTGGTTTGTTGTGAGCATCTCAGCATCAAATGTTTACAGATATTTGTAAAATGAAATAGAAATCCAAAGAAGGTTTACCAATTACATCTACAGATAACATAACATGAAGCAAATATTAGTAGGTATTTAGAAAACTCTCTATTTCAGACCAGCAAATACTACACTAGAAAGTTTCAGTAGTCTGGCAGTCTTGTTTATTATTAATGACAACTGTTAGAAAAGCAGTTAGGCAACCTTCTAAGTGTGATAGTGATCGTTTAGTCTGAAAAAGCAGCACAACTCAGTGGACTTAATAAACTCCATTTGGCAATATCATCAAATTACAACTTATTCTAAGTTGATACTTGCATGTAAAATCTTTATCAAATGTTGATAATATAGCAACCAATTGTGTCTAAAAATGAAAATTTTCTACTGATTGACTATGAAAAAAAAATCAACTGATAAAATAAAAAAAAATGTCATAGTGATCCCAGTTTTAAAATTTTCATTAATTCATGCACTCCTTTTGTGTCAAAAACTTTCAGTGACAAACTTGCCATGTTCTCTGTATGGTGCATAAAGGCATGTATGAGTGTATGCCAACATAAATCTGTGCATAAATGCAAGTATGAGTGTATGCAAGCATACAAGTATCTGTGCACAAAGGCATGTGTGATTGTACGCACACATCCATGTTTTGGTACATAAAGGCATGTGTTAGTGTATGCCAGCATACATGTATCTGTGCACTGTGCAACAACAAAAGCAGGCATCTTTTGCCCAGAGGAGCTTTCCTGGTGTCATCTCAACCTCATTATAGAAAATATCAATAATTAAGAAGATAATGACGTGAAAGATGTTTTTCTTTGACCTCCACCATTTGACATGCATCTAGACCAGGGGCTCTTCTTAAAAAAAAACCTTGTTCAAATTAATGAGACCATCTTATAATATATCTAATAATTTCAAAACAGGAACACCTATAGTAAAGGGAGTTTTCCCCTGAAGGCAGCCCCATAAGTTATTAAAGGAATAAATAAACAAAACAATATCTAAGAAAGGTAAATTCTGCATCCTTGACAAAATGATAAAATAATTTTAATTTAGACAACTGCATACATGTCATTTGATCCTTATTCATGTGACTGACATGTTTATAAGACAGTAACAATTTTGCAAAATTTGCATCAATAATAATGAGCAATTAAAAGAATTAGGAAAATGACATTTTTTTATATGAGAGTGAACATGATAACACACAAGAATGAGGATACTTAGAATCAATAAACTTGCAAAATATGCAAACCACAACAATATCTAAAGCACAATGCTGACTTCTTGAATTAGTAGAATTAGATTCACAATGTGCAAGCACTTAGTTTCCAAACCATTGCAAAAATTTGTTTTACGACATAACTGACCTTACTATGCACAAAATGACAGATGAACAGTTCTACAGTTATTCAGTTATATACATAAAATTGATTTTAAAAAATACCACAGATAATCAAATATAACCGAATCAAAATAGTTCAAATGTTTAGTTTAGATTCACATGAAAGGAAATAAAATGTAAGTTAACTATCATCTTAATACGTGACACCACAAAGACCACTGTTCCCCAATAGTAAGGTCAGAGAGTTGAAGCAGAGAGAGATAGTAAACAGAAAGTCCAGGCATTACCTTTGGAGTAATTCCTCATTGACACTTGCTAACAGAGAGCTGTCAAAAGGAATAACACCAAACTTAAGAGTTAACAACAATGAAACAATACAAGTTACTTTTTACACAATCAATCAATCAAGCAAGGCCAGAATATTTCTACTTCTTTTAATTGAAAGATGGGTTCCTACATGACTTAGGCTAGGTAGTCTGATGAAGTTTGCACAATATCTAAAAAATTATGGTTTTAATAATGTGTATGGCTATACAGAAATTCCCCAGCCACATAATAAGACATCACCAGTAAAAATACTGTACTTAGATCAAGAATTCAGAGCAAACATCAAGTTTCCTATGGTTTCAGGTTACCTCAAATATATCATCTTGCACTTTTGTACATTATATTGCGCAAAGTTAACAGAACTACCTGAAAACATCTTCACAGTTATGGGAATATCTTTAAATCTAAAATATGATATTCATTATGTCCTGTATCATACTCAACACAAAGAACAGCATGATAACGTTACAACAACAGTACTCCCAAGTATAGCAAAGACTCTACGGAAGCTGGAGAAGATAACTTCATGCCTTTAAAATGCATCAGCTATGTCTCCCATCATTTTCATTTGCATAATAAACAACTGAAATCTATCCATGCATTATGACAATTGTCTTGAATATAATATAATCAATTTGGATACACAGTCAAATACAAAGAGTTTCTATGTTTCTTTCAACTTTTTTTTTTTTTTTTTTTTTTTGGGGGGGGGGGGGGGGGG